ACCACCACCACCATCACCAGCACCAGCACCAGCACCAGCACCAGCACCAGAACCAGAACCAGAACCAGAACCAGAACCAGCACCACCATCACCACTTCCACGACGACGATGACTTGCTAGTACGACTTCCACTATATTCTCATCACCAGCCTACTGCCTCCTCATAGTGACAGTAGCACACACGATCATATTAATAGTAGTGACGTCGAAGAGCTGCTTCAGCTAGTAGGGGGTATGCAGCAAGCAGTCGAGTTTTTGACGGCTCGGCGCAGGCCTCGGCATTGGCAGCGGAGCTCCCGAGCTGGGCTCTTACTTGGCTCCGCTGGCTTCGTAGCGAAAGCTGTGATGAAAAGCAAACAGGAAGTTGTAAAGGCTCGGTCTGTTGTCACAGAAGCCAAGCCCATGCCATCGAGAGCTGCACGTTACAGAGGCAGCTCGGCCTGCCGGCAGAGGCTCTCAGCTTCTCAGATTGTGATTTCTATCGGGACATATAAGAGTGCCCACTATGGCAACCATGGATTTGGATTGCTTCGGCAAGCGGCCAAAGGCCGACGATGAAGACAAGCTTTCGATATTTTCGGGCGCAGGCCGATCTTTGGTCTCGGCCGATGCCTTGCGCATCTTAGATCCCAGTGTGGACCAGTTCGTGATCTCGCATGTCCTAACCGGAGGGCAGTGGGAGCGCTACGACACATCCGCTCAAGAGCCATGTTGGACTCTGGCAAATGATGGTGTCGTGGTGGTGGCAAAAGAGCGGTTTGACGAAGCCAGCGACTTAAACAGTTGGCTGAGATCAAGCTTTCAGGTTGCCTTCTTCAGTGCCCTGGATGCACGTGATGCCTATGCTGCCTTGCTGGAAAGGTTGGATGCGGCCTTAGATGAGGAAGATCGGCTTGACAGGCTCCACCATGTCTTGGCGACTGGCAACCGCCAGGGCATCGCACGCACCTTCCATGGAGTGGACCTCAGTGTGCATCCTACGAATCGGCCGCTCCTACTGCATTGTGCCGCCGAGGGCTACTCGCAATGTCTCCATGCGCTGATTCAGGCAGGCTTTGCGCCTGACGTGCATGGCAGCAACAAGTGCAATGCTCTTCATCTGGCAGCTTGGGGTGGACACACTGACTGTGTGGAGCTCCTTTGTCAGAAATGCCCTCAGCTTTCCGAAGAGACGAACAAGTGGCGGGAATTCCCGGAGCTTGCAGCATATGGCCGGGCATGCGAGCTTGACATTGCAGGTGAGGTCAGTTCGAAGAGATTCTATCAAGCAGGCGAACGATGTTTGCAGACCCGCAAGGGCAATGCTGAGCTTGACAAGACTTGGTTTCAAGATGATTCGAAGGAGAGGCTTCAGCATTGCTTTCAAGCCAGCATCAAGAATGTGAGAATCTCCCCAGGCACTCGCCCAGCTGACGTTGCAGCTGCTGCGAGCCAGATGACATCCGACTGGCGAGTCACCGATCTTTCGGTGACATTTGTCGACTTACGAGGCGTGGAAGTGCTGGATGTCCTTCTGAGTGCAGCTGCTCAGGGACATTTCCTCCAGCACCTGCAGCTGGAGGGCTGTGGCTTAGGCCGTCCAGAGGCAGCTTGCTTGCGAACGTTTCTGGAAAGGAGGACGACATCATTGGCGAAGCTGGACCTCAGCAGCAACCCCTTGGGCGATGGAGTTGTCGAGCTGTTTTGCCCGGCCCTGTTCCGTGTGAAAGATGTTGTTCTCGACAACACGAAGCTGTCAGAGACGACGGTGGGATGCTTTGGGGAGCAGCTTGCCTGCGCCATGGACGTCGAAGTAGTCAGCCTGGACTCAATCCACTTCGCCCGGAACGACCTATCTCACGTTGGCGATCTTGATGCAAATGCAGGCTTCGGATCGTTCCTACAAGTCTTGTGTCAAAAGAGCTGTCCACTGCGCAAACTCTACCTCGATCACACACGACTCTCTCGACAGCAACTGGAGGGGCTTGTAAACGCACTTCCAAATTTTGGCCTCGTTACCCTTAGTTGCCATGGTCTCTGTCTTCCGGCGGAATGGGCCGCAAAAGGGGGAAAGCTGAACCAGGCACTCCATCATGATCGCTGTGTGCTGAAGCGAATCGAGGTTGATCGTGGTCAGGGAAGCGAGGAATTTGACAAGCTGTGGAAGGCCATCAAATTACGGAATGCAGCGCGAGAGCAGCCACGAGGACAAAAGGGCAAAGGCAAGAGCAAAGGCAAAGACAAGAAGGGCAAAGGATGCAACGACATTTCTGGTCCTGCCTCTTCTTCAACCGGGCGAGAGGAAGTCCAGCACAGCTTCTCCTTCCGCGAGCCGTTCGCGGTGTGCCTTCGAGCCGTCTATTGGGATGCACGGCGCTCCTCCTGGAAGGGAGACTTTCTTACGGAGTCTGCTGGGGCTGTAGCTGGAGTTCTGCTGCCGAGGACCGGCGACAGCCACCCAGAAGCTGACGTGAACTCCGTGTTCAACATGACTTTGAAGCTTCAACGAGCCCCAGAGACAGTGGACAAGAGCCTGAAGGCAAACGATCTTGCTGTTGACAGCATGCAGCAGGAGACCTCAAGGAGCAGACACTTCTTGGAGTTTGTTCGGCTGGTTTTTGTGCGTGAATCAACCAGTCAAATCCTGACACTGAGCGCATCCTTCAGCCCTGCCGCGCTGCAGCTCAAACAGGTGTTCATGCTGGACTCCTTCCGTGGACTGCCAGATCTTCCAAAAGAGATGATACCACAGCTAGGGCATCTTCTTTCCAAACTGACAGATGCTGAACTTCTGTCTCTGCTCGATTCTGGCGTCGCAGATTCGCTGCTGCATCCTTGGTCCGGCAAGACTGGAAGGTTTGTGGATGATGTCGCGAGGTCACAGCATCGTGCGCGCGTCAGCTCACCGGCTTGGCAGGCTTTGTCAAAGCTGGCAGAAGCTGAGAAAGCCAGCCGCCAGAAGCCCAACGAAGTGGTGGAATTGAGGCGCATGCTGACCTTCCGTTTGGCTTGCCAGCTGCAGTCCGGGGCCTCGACCAGTAGCCGAATGAGCTATGACGAGCCAGAGAAGGCCTTCCTTCAGGAGCTGCATCGCACAACTTTGCGGGGGAGTGGTGTGCACATTACTAGACACCGCGATGGGGGAGGCAAGAAGGAGACGACAGATGTTGTCGATTGCACTGGCAAAATGCTGCAGAGGCTGCTATTTTGCAGCATTCCTGAGCGTCTCATCAATGACGAGAGTCCGAACGGGCCGGTGAAGTGGCTGCCAGACTCGCGATGGGTCTCGGCAAGCACCCCGGGAGTTCTGTCGGCGATTCTACACGATGATGCGTCGGAAGGATACCCCTCATTGGCAGAATCTATTTGTTCAGCCGTCATGAAGTTGAGGCCTGGCAATATCGACTACACTGTCGGGAATGATCATCAGTCCTGAATCTGAACAACTGATGCAGTGTTGCTTCCAAGTGATTTAGGTCTGCACAGAACGTGGACAATAATATTGTTTATATGGTCATGAGCGGTCATGGCTGGTAGTTAAGACGCGCACCTCCAAAGCACTGTCGCAGAACGCTGCAGACAGATGCTTGGCGAGGGCGGCAGCAGAACAATTCTGGCCAGTGACAGGTGCAAAGTCTTCAGTTGGTTTTCGGCCTTCCGTGCTGCACAACTTGACTGGAGCTGTGTGCTGATGCTCGTGTCAGGCTAGTGACAGGCAGCAGGGACGGGACGGTTCGCGTCTGCATCTCAGCTCAGGATTCCCTCGTTCTTCCCAACTGTCGCATCTGCTCAGGTCTGGGATCCTCGCACCCAGGATCCAGTCCTTTCGCTTGAGCCCGTCGAGGGCGAGACACCCGCCGACTGCTGGACAGTGGCCTTCGGTAACTCCTACAACGATGCAGAGCGCTGCATCGCTGCAGGACCTTAGATGCCTTCGATTTTTCTTTGCTGCACGGCTATAGACTGCATGAGTTCGCAGTCTCAGAGCAGGATACGACAACGGTGACGTCAAAATTTTCGACTTGTCCCGGTCTCAGCTTGCCGTCGCATTTAATGTCTTCTTACCAGCATGACTGCAGCATGATTCTCCGTGCAAGGCGAACCAACACGCTGAGATGGGACACGAACGTCCGGAACGGGGTGTGCCACCTCCAGTTCGCCAGAGTCTCATGGGACTTAGTCCAGTTGCACCTTCAACCTTAAGCCCTGAACTCTTGCCTTGAAAGCTGCTAAAGCCTGCCGGCGTCTTATGAAAACGTGTTTGCAAACGTTTTCTGGTGCGCCAAAAACCGCAGTAGCGAAGCTCCAACAATTCCTTCCATTTTGAATTTTACATCCCTGACAGGGCCGTCCAAAGCAAAGCCCAGGACTAGAAAGCATATCAAACTAGTTTGAACACGCCACGGAAACTATACAGGGACCACCGCATCCTGAATGAACCAACTGTTCCCTGGGCTTGTAAACCTGAGTACGCAACTTGTAAGCCTTAGCTTTCATGCTTCGGAGCATTGGAGGACAGGAAAGATATCAAGATGAACAAGCTGGGCGTGCCATCCTGAGAGCTCTGCGTAAAAACAAGCATCCGCCCCCCTTTCTTTTATGCATCTTTGCATTTGCTCAGAGGTTTCGACGCTGGAGTCGACCCTGGTGGTTTATGACCTCCGCACGTCTAGACCTCTGCTATCAGCGATGCCAGTTTGTTGGATGGCTTCCGAAACCAGCTGACGCTTGGACCAGCGTCAGGTATCACCCTGAAGAGGGCTACGCAGGTAGGAAGGAGAAGGCAAGTCCGAGTCTTCTTGTCGCTGGGAGTTTTAATTCAGCTTGTGGGCAGACTGGATCCGCCAGCTTTGCACTTCAGAAGTCATGGTTCCTGGCGACAGCTCTTTAAGCTGCACAGGTGACAAAGAGCACACTTTGGGGGGCGCACTTCCTGCCGCAGAACAGGGAAGTCTTCGCCTCCTGCGGTGGAAACGGAACCATCACCTTGTTCAAGTAAGACTGACCCAGACATCAGAGTCTGCTGTTGGGGGGTGCTGAACACCACATGAGCCCTACAATGAAGTCAGCCCACGACGAGGTACTCCTACCCCGAAGAACGGTCCATCCAGGACAAGGAAGGCATAGAGCATGGCGCTCAGTGACGACTCAGAGTTGTTGATTGCGCGGTCCGTGCCATATGGTACTGACGGCAGTTTCTTCTGCTTGTGCTAGGTGTACACAGTGCATTTACACTCACCGTGTTGAAGCTGCTCGATTCCAAGATGCAGTCTACGTCTCTTGAGGTACTGGCGACAGGTGTCCAAAGCACACATCGCAAGCTATGGACTTTTGAGAAAACCACGGGGGCCCCATCCCAAGCCTGACGGCCAGTTCCCACTGTGCTGCCTAAGTCGTGGAGTTGCCGGCACCGTCGAGATGCTCAATCAGAAGGACCCCGATACCCGACTTGTAGCCCGGATGTATGTACATACAATATAGTATTATATATATATATATCTGTTTATTTATTTATTTATTTATATACACCTGTACAGAACCGGACCCATTGCAGGCCCGTGTTCACACTGTATGGAAAATCGTGTTCCATATATCATGTATGATCAAACAGATCTCTCTCTCTCTCTCTCTCTCTCTATATATATATATATGTACATATATATATATATGTGTATATATATACACATCTGTATAGATGTTGTGGCCCATTGTGTTTGGGAGCATTAAGGCCTTCAGCATCCTTGCCTGACCACGGCACACCATTGCACCGAAAGGCCCTTGGAATTAACCGGATCGTCAAAGATTGATGCGCCATCCACGCACATGTGACAAGGAGCTGTCAACGCAGCCCGTGATTTCCTTCGCCGCCGTCCCAGGAAGTCTGAGATAGGAGGCTTAATTAGTGAGTAGCAGTGTTCCTTCTTAGTCCCGGTACAGATTGTTAGTTATTAGTTTATTGTTTAGTTTCACCCAAACCCATGTTCTACCTTATCAAGGCCCCCTGCATTATGTAGATTACTTTCACGCAGACTGCAAACAGGAGAGCGCAGAGTCGATCAGGATGTTGGACTGGCTCCTTCATATCCGAAGGGTTAGGCTTGCGTGATTTGCCGCCTACTGATTCCCCCATCCACCCGCAAGTCCCTGAACCCTTAACTCCAAATCCCCAAACCCTTTAAACCTTCAACTCCCAACCGCAACCCCTAACACCTCTAGAGAAAGCCCAAGGACTGGCACATGAACAAGACCGGCCTCTGTGTCTTTGCATGCCTGGACCAGCCGAGCGCTCAGTGCGACCGATTGCGTTTGTTCAAGGTAAGACCAGTTTAGGTCTTAGGGTCTGTTGTATGGTGTAGGACGGTGTAGGGATATCTGAAATGCTCCAACAGTAGAACTAAAGTCAATAGATAATAGAAATGCCTTGTAAGCCGTCGGATCTCTTGTTCTCTTTCTGAACAGGGCCGCACCGTATCCAGCAAAGGCAAACCGTATCTTTGCAACCCACCTCACCATGACTTCGTCTTATCTGGTCATACAGAACCCTGACAGTACCTAATATCAGGCCTTGCTATGCCTTGCTATAAGGTTACTACAAGGGCTATACAGAAAGGGTTGCTATAGAGGCTACGACAAGGGATACTATTTGTTCCAGTCTGGATTTGGGAGTTGGAGCTCCAGCTGCCCCCTGGTACAGCTTAGGACTTGCCGCGTGGCCATCTGTACCAAGCGACGGCCCCGGACAGGGGCAGGGTGATGATGCTGTTGATGTTCACTGAATAGCTGTGAATCCATTGCTTTTGGTTGCTTTTGTTGGGCATGCTACTCATGGAGCCCTTCCTGATTGTATCCCACTGCTGATACTGCCCGGCGTTCGTAGCAGCGACCGATTCGACGCACACTGGTTCTTAGACTTAGCCGCTGTTGTCTTGCCGGGTGTGTTCCTTTGTCGCATGGATGCTGGGAGGGCAGATCTCGCTGCGCATGATCGTCGACATGCTGCTTGCAACTCACAATGCTGCCGGAAGGTTGCATCTCTACTGAGGGTATGGCGACTCAGATCTGCGCCAAGCGAAGTCCATAGAATCAGCGAAAGAAGGTCAACCGGTATGCCAGTAGCCAAGTACCTCATGACTTCATGTGCATGCACAGGATTTAGGCGTTACCAAAGCGGCGCAGCTCCGGAAGCTAGGGTTCGCTGCGTTTTTCGGGCAGCTCGCAACCTGCGACTGATCCTGCATGCCTGCATGTCCCGCATACAGCTAAGAGCTGTGGTGAGCATAAGATCTTGCAACCCGAGGAGGCCATTGGCAGTTCGGAAACAGGCTGTCTCAGAGACTGTCACAATCACATGTCGAGTCTGGTTCCGGTGTCTGCGACGCCTGCGACCCGTCGCAGATGCAGGTGTTGGTTTGACATGAAGGCTTCTGCCAGCAGAGCGCTTGAGATCTGTGCCTTAGCCGTACCCACAGCTGCACAGCCTTGCCTTTGCTTGTTGATTTGTTCGGTGGGTGTTGCAGGTGTTGTGTTTGAAACCATCGGTTATCTTTTGCATTCAATTCAACGTCTATTGGTGCCGTTATTCCAGGGATGCCTCCTCAAGCTAGATTCACGACTTTCACCCTGTGGCTCAAGTATGCAAGAACCTATGTGCATTGTACTCGCGCAAGCACACTACTCTGCACCCAACCAAGCACCATTTCCGAGCGCGTCCGGTTTACGACGCAGCGACTCAGACACTTTCGGTCGTAGACCTCCTTGACACATGCGTTCTGTGGCCTTCCCGTGCGGCGAGCATGGAGCCTTCTAAGCAGACGAGCAACACGGTTCGTCTGAGTTCAGGGTCGAGCACTGAGACTTTGCCATCCACCTCAGACGCCCTCGCAGTCTTTACACGGCCCGAAGCCGAGGCAGTCGATCCGACCTCCTGTCCTCGGTGGACTGATCTCGGGCAAGAAGCCGGCAGTTACGCCGGATGGCTCACGCGTTTTCGCGGCCTGTGGCAATTTGGCCATTGGTTTCAGCGCCCGGGCCTCGGGCGACAAGGAGTGCAAAGATCGCACTGAGGGTCGACTGCTGCTTGCGTTAATGCACTTTGCTGCAACTCGCCAAGCCGATAGCTGTTTGGCTCTGCGGCAGGTCAATACAACAATCCGATTCATAATTGGATTCGCAGACAATCAAGTGCGCTTTAAATACCTACCTGCACACAGAAACACGTGTATGATAGGGTTCTCGGGTGTTGCGGTCTCCCCCCCATGCCAGGTGCCATCCCCCAAGTCCCTGACGGCAGCAGGCCGAAACCAATAATGGGGGGCAAACCGTGCTCCGTAGCAGCATGACCTAACCTCATAAACACTCCACAAATACCAGCAACACCACATCCTCAAATTAGGGGGGAGGGGAGACAGGGAACAAAAAGCAAACACCACTTCCACAACCAGAAGGTGGGAAGGGGGGAACCCTGATGAAATTGCACACCAGATATGCAGATATACAGATATATGCATGTACACAGCTCTACCCCTATACAGCTACACAGAGAAGCACGCGTATATGTTTACTTTACGCATGTACATGCTGGTAGGTCATGGTCTGTTTGATGAAGTTAGATGAGTAGGTAGGCAGGCATAGAGGTATCTACATGTATACACATACATATATATATACATACATACATACATACATACATACATACAATGGCTTACACTACTTGTATAGCCTAGCTTTAGCCGGCTAGCTCATCTTCTCCCAACGACGCTAAAGCCCCACTGTAGGGCGAAAATGCACGAGCCCATTCCCGTCGCTCACTTTTGCAAATGGGCAAAAGCTTTTCCTTAAAAATCTGAAAGACCTTTCAGCTGCTGCAGACTGGCAAACCTCTGCCCAAAAGGCCAAGAGACCCAGATAGACCCAGAACCTTAAATGCAGACACTGTAAGCCCAAAAGTTGAAAAGAACCGAACTCTGAAGCCATCAACCGCAACACCGTCCAAGCCTCACTGACCCTCACAGATCCCCAGGCCTGCGACAGTACCCATGATTTGAAAAACCCAGAGCCCTGGGCCACCCGCTCTAAAGCCTGAATCCATACGTTATGAAGCTGGTCTCTGCAACTCTAAACCAACACATCCTCGGTGCCAAGACCCGAACCTCTCGGCGTCTGGGAGTACTTGGGCCTCTCCGTGGCACGGTGACGGCAACGGCAGGAGGCAGCTCTTGACTACGAACCGTAGACTGTTGATACAGGATATTCGCGGCATGTCCAGGTTGAGCTAGCGTTCCGTGGGTGCGGGTACAAATTGGTATCCATTGTTGCCAGTGTGCATTCTCATGAAAGAGACGGTAGTAGGTAGGTAGGTAGGTAGGTAGGTAGGTAGGTAGGTAGGTAGGTAGGTAGGTAGGTAGGTAGTTGGGGAGGAGCATCCGTGTATGTGTATATCTACGCATCTTCCAATGTGTATGTGTGTGTAGATGATTATTTGTATGTGTTTCACATGTGTACACCTATATGTATGTGTATGTTCGTGGCCATGCACATGTACATGCAAGCTATGTGAGCACGTGTGTGCATGTACACACACACACTCTTTCTCTCTCTCTCTCTCTGTCTCTTTGTCTCTCTATCTCTCTCTATCACCACACATTCGCCGCTTCATCTGAATATGCGTTTGTATGTGGACGATTGTGCCTGTAGATTAACGCGTCTATGTCAGCACAACAATATCTGCTGAGGATTGAACTGTCCTCTGCTCTCAATCATTCGTTTCCTGTGCCGTAAAACATCATCATCTTACCTGGTTACCTGATTGCAGGCCTTCCAGGCAATACGAGTGCCGACAGCCCCCAGGCTGTCGCAACGGGATCCTCGCGGGGCTCCTGGCTGTGTGTAGCTACAGTTGCTGTGAGCATCAGGATTAGGAAAATCTCCAGGACCAAGGATGGGTAGTCAGAGAATCCCCGTTAATACTCTACATCTGTTGTGCTGCAGTTGGGGGCCTGCCTCAGGTTCGGAGAGCTGGTTATCTGGGATGCCAAGAGCTGGGGTCCCAGGATTTCTCTGCTCGTGTGCTGTTCCATCACTTAGCTCCTTTCTTCGGAGCTTTCTGCCGGAGCTTGCAAGGACGATGTCGGCAGCGTGACACTAAGGTCTGCAGAAGCTCTCCCATTTGCAGTTCGATGAGCCTGCAAACGACTCAGAAGCGGTTTCTGCTGGCTTCGGGTTGTAGGGGCGGCAGCGGAGCAGGTTTGACAAGCGCTCAAATTGCCGGAGACGCAAGGCTTCTGTGAGTGCTGGCTAGTTGTATGTATACTTCCTATGGCTCCAGCAACGTGGGTGTGTGTGTGTGTGTGAGAGTGATGCTGCAGCCGAACAACACTGCATGTCTGTCATGATAACTATCTATCTATCTATCTAGCTATCTATCTATCCGCCTATCTATCTATCCATCTATCCATCTATCTATCTATCTCTCTCTCTCTCTCTCTCGCTCTCTCTCTCTCTCTCTCTCTCTCTCCTGCTCTGTGTTCCTCTTTCTGGTTTAGACTAGATCTACCATGATTGCGAAGAGTGCTGCGCATCTGCTTCCAGGTACTACATGTCATCTGGCCAAGCAAAAACATTATCATGGTCTTTTTGGGCCACGGCCACAGATATTTGGGGGGGATTCTGGTGTGCCAAGGGTTGTGTCAGAGAAGTGCTCGCGATGTCGGACTCTCTCGAAGTTCTGAAGTGCAGATGTCACTGGCAGAAGAGGGTTTGTAAAAAAAGGGATTTTTGAACACCTCCTTCTGCGAGAATTCATCGCACTCTAAGGCCAGAGAGGAGCAACAGTCACTGCAGAAGTTGTTTCCGTGGACTCCCTGGAGTCTACAAGGCGCGAGACGTTGAGCTTCTGTTACTGTTACCTGCATTTCGCTATATTATATAGTATAGGATTACATATACATATATATATATATGTAGATGGATAGATAGATAGATAGAGAGACAGAGAGAGAGAGTCGTTCTAACCCTTCCGAAAGAAAGAGAGAGTCGTTCATGTTGTTTGTTTCCAAGAAACCACATGCCGAGCAGAGGGGGAATGTATAGCCAAGCTCACGAGGGGATAACCCTCGTTGGGACCTTTAAATCCTGCCTGGACCGGCAGGTGCGCGCTCGCGTGCGGGGTGAGGGGTCCGACCAACCCCAAGCCCCAAGCCTGGTAGAGAGAGAGAGAGAGACCGAGTATAGCAGAGTAAAGATTAGTTTCGGTATAGTATAGAATAGTCTAGTCTAGTTAACATAGCACAGTATACTGTAGTAGAGTATAGTCAGTCTTGTGTAGTATAGTACGTTATCACTTTGTAGTAAAATCTAACTGAGTCTCCCCTCTCCAATGGGCCGCTGCACTTGAGAGAACAATCTTCGGAGGTAGGCATGTTTGGTGGGAAGCCATCCCGCTATGTGCATGCTTTGCAGGAAACTGAGAAAGACACCACTGAGTCGGGTAGCCGAGCACACGTGGATCTTGCAGGCTTGTGCATACAGGTTTCGTCTCTCACTTCTCCATTGAAGCTGACCACGCACCCGGAGCATGACGACGCAGCCGAGACTCATCTTCTAAACATACTGCTTATGTCGTCGGTTCGTACTAAGGCATGACGAACAGTAACGGGCCAGCGGCTGCGACTGAAGATGTCATCGCTCTTGTTGATGGCAAGGAGCCGCAGACCGGTTGTGTGAGACTTGCGAGGGCTCCAACGGCCTGCTGGTTAATCGATACGATTTGGAAGACCAGGGTACGGATGGTAGCTCTCAATGGCCTCTGCAAAGGACCTGGTTGTCTGGGCAGATGGCTGGTCGAACAGTCAGAGGCTGCCGAGCTTCTGACGGCAGTCGGATGGGTGGCTGTTGAACATTTTGATCCGGTGGTAATAGCATGTAAAGGCTGTGGAATTCGACCTAAATGGTTTGTAGCCAGCTCGTCATGCAACTGTCACCACAACCTAGTGCGAACCATGAGCACGCATTCGGAAATGGCAACCTGCAGAATCTCTGATGCC